TGTGTGTGTGTGTGTGTGTGTGTGTGTAGATTTTACTATTTTACTTCACTTGGAATTCTTCGTTATATCATATGACTGTCTTTCTTGTGTTGTCGAATTTCAGTGAATTTTTTCTGTAAAATTTGATTTGCTCAAAATTATTTTACCCACTTCAAAGTGTTCAATGGTATCGCACACATTCTGTTTTGTTTGAATACTTTATTAACTGAAGCTGTTTCACAGGTGTTTTAGAATTACACATTTTCTTCTGTTTAAGTTTGATTTCTTCTTTCCAATTAAATATGTTCAACGTTGCAGATTAAGTTTAGTCTAGTTATTTAAGGTGTTTTAAACCAAGGAGAGGGTTTGGGATTAAGTAAGAACACAAATGATACGTATGTCCCAAAGACTAAACTGGCCCCCGAAGGGGCCCAATCCATTTACAATTTTTTATTCTCCCTTCATAAGTTCGTGCATTCGGTGATAGTTTCCTAATTAAATAGTAATACAACAGTGCAAAGAAGGAGAAATTTGACACACAATTGGCATAAATCTAATATCCTAAAAAAAAAAAAAAAGCAGCGCTTTGCACTTTCGAGGGAAAGTGATAAAGCGGTGCGAAACTGAAATGGTGCACGAAACGGAAATACGCCATGCAATTGGCAAGTTGACCCGCATTTGGGCCCTACTATGCATAATTTGGTTCCTATATATTTTATCAAAAACTTAAATAGAAAAAGAACCAACCGGTCATCATTAGATAAATCGTACCGAAGGGAAGACAGTTCTATTATGTTATTATAGCAATATAAAAGTAAAAGACTTGAAAACTTCAGATATATCTAGACCCAGAATGGGTCAGAGGTAGTCAAATCCAGAAAATACCCCCCCCCCTCCTCGATCGTTGGAACAACACATCATCCTGGAGGTGCAGTTATAGAGGTTGTAAGGCAAGAGTTCTGACGAACAGAGATTATATAGAGGCGTCCAAAAGAAACTTGAAAAAGTAATCACCCTCTCATCGTGTTAAAAGTTTGCACTACCCACTCATGCAGCAGAGCTAAATAGATTCTGCATCATCTATGTTAAGAGACGCCTGAGATCTGGTCATTTAAAATTGGCATTTAAAAAATCAGGCTTGGCAAAATTGTGCAAAAGCATCGACTTTGACCATCAATGATTTATTCATAGAGGCACAAAGAAAAGTAAAATTGTCTTTGCACTTGTATTGGAGAGCGTAAATATTGATACAAATAATATAGACATATTACATATCTAATGAAAGGAAAATTTTGTCTCTACAACAAACAATATTTTTTTACGATAGTGTCAAACAAAACAGAAAACAGAGCTATCACAAATATCACGCCGAACTTGGACTTAACACTAGATTTCTTAATGTGCTCATTGTTATTTTGCTTGAGAGCCTTTGGTTTTGTGTAGAGCACGAACCCTTTGGGCATCGACTCTATTACATTTTGGATATACTTGTCTGTCATGTCATCCCAAATGTCTCAGAGGAGAAAGTTGCAAACAAAGGGTCTAAATGCGGAGCAAAGTAGCTTTTCTTTTGTTGCTGTTTCATGGTACTTCATATACCTGTATGATTTATACCGGGGCTATCTGGTGATCACTCCAGCGGTGATACGATTTAGTTTCCCAAGAATTTTTTGAGGGCATTGGCACTGTGAGAAAGTGCTTTCCTATGGATGGAGATGTCTACTTGAATGACACCTTGACAAAAAATAAGGGTACAATATGACGTCCCAGCACTTGTGCGATGTGGTCCACAGAACCAAGCCATCCAGTGATCCTCACGACGTGGGCGGATTTCCTCATTCCACCCCAGACCATCCAAAACCATGGCAGTTTCGGGACCTCTGTTCCTCACTAGCAGATGATTATGTCTAAAATCTAACTAACACAGTCCATGTGCAAAAAAAGATTTCGTCCTCTGTCCGAAACTAATAGCCCCTTAATTAAATGAGGACATGCAATGTTAAGTCCAGGTTTTATGTGGTATTTGTGACTGCTTTGTTCTTCAATCTTTTACAAAAAATCATCAGAAGATGCTGTTCATTGCAGAGACACTAATAGTAATATTCTCTTTTCATTTGAAATTCAATACATTTCCATTCCACCAATGTTGACAACCACTGTTTATGCACCTCAATATAGGCACTATCACACTTTTACGTTTCTTTGATTTCGCACTATTTTGTCAAGCCTGGTTTTTAAAAATTAACTTTTGTTTAGTGACCATATCTTAGACGTCTCTTAACATAGATAAAATATTAATGTGTCAAATGATTCAGACTTTATTTAACTTTAAATTGGTTTGCTGCAAATGAGTGGATAGCGCAAGGCTATAACACGATCACTTGGTGATTATATTTTCAAGTTTCTTTTGGACGTCATTATATAACATACTCAAATCTTACGGTAATCCAACGAACACAGCCATGATGACGCTGACGGAGCACGATATTTTACTCTACTTGAAGACTATGTCTAACAATTTAATACTTCAACAAGTACTCGAATGTGCTTCATCCGTACAGACCTAAGAAAAACGTTATGTTTGAAACCCGTCGAAATGAGCTTCCACGCCAAAGAAAACGTCAACGCGCTGAGATCAAGGTGCCATATTAAGTGTGAACGCGACGAAAACAGGTAAAACGTGTTGAGATTGATTCTGATTGAGTGCAGTAGCTTCTTTTTTTTTTTTTTTTTTAACTCATTGTTGTTTCTGTCTATCTAGATTCTACCCGTCTAAGTCCTTGTGTCCACCAACCCAGAAACCAACTGATCATAAGTAGTCCGTCTTTCAGGAAAACGATAGTTGAGAGCACCGGTTTTTCACCCTAGCAGTATCCAACTTACCTAGGAGTCAAACTTGACCATAAGCTAACCATGAAAAGCCAAGTGGAGAACATAAGGAACAAGGCAAAGAATAGACTCCAACTTTTAAAGAAACTCGCAAGCAGTTCATGGGGATCAGACAAACAAACTCTCAGAGCTCTATATCTTGGTTATGTCCGATCTTCCCTGGAATACAGCAATAGCCTACTCACTATGTGCAGTACAACTACTTGCAACACCCTTGACAAGGTCCAAAACAATGCCCTTCGTTTTATAAATGGTGGAATGAGATCCACACCTACCGCCGCGTGCGAAATCCTTGCAAATGTTGAACCTCTGGGAATCCGCAGAGATAAAGCAGTTTTGGAGCTACACGAAAGAACAAAAAGAATGTGCCCCAACCACCCAAACAGGAAATTAGTAGAAACATAGAAACCAAAGAAACGAATTCAACAAAAGTCAATCACGCATCACATCACAGAACTAATGGAGAGCCACCATCTACCACAAAACAGAAAAGAAACTCAAAGAGTCAACCAAAACATCCCTCCCCACCTTTCTTTAAAAAAGCCAACCATTACAACATCTCTCAAAGACAAGAGCACAAAATCGTCAGACCCAGTGACGCTTATGATTGCATCACATCAAACAATCGACAGCTATTCAGATGACTGAATACACGTCTATACGGACGGCTCAGCATTCAAAGGCACAACGAAAGCCGGATATGGAATACTAATACAGTACCCAGGTGGAAGTTCCAATGAGATCTCTGCAGCCTGTGGAGAGAAATGCAGCAACTACGATGCAGAAATGATAGCAATTGAAACAGCACTGTACCATCTCCGTACAGTTTTTGACACTCAACCTGGAAAAGCACAGAGCATTGTGATTTCCACTGACTCACTATCAGTATTACAAGCCATAGAAAATGACCATTATCTAAACCAAGATTTGACCCATATACTGTTTGGATCCCATCATCTGATAACATTCTGTGGCATCAACCTAGTAATGCAGTGGGTCCCCGGACACTCAGACATACCTGGACATGACAGAGCAGACACACTTGCCAAACGGGGATCTAGACAGGAACAATCCAACATTCCAACTTCATACGACACTGCAAAACAAATCATCAAAAGCAACAACAAACTAGATTGGATGAACAGATGGGCCCTGGGAAAGACAGGCAGAGCAGTTTTCAAACATATGACCACAACAAAATGGAATGACAATATCAACCGCCTTCAGAGAAAGAAACAGACCACGAACTTCCGCCTACGAACAGAACATACACAGCTCAACTTCCACCTGAACAGAATAAACCAGGAACTTCCCCCAATGTGTCCCTTGTGTGACTATGCATAAGAGACTGTGGATCATCACCTGTTCCACTGCACAGCCCTAAATGACATCAGAGCTACCCTTCTCCCTCCGAGACCTAACATTAACAACACACTCTATGGAACTTTACAGCAACTGCAGCAAACCTGCACTTATCACTACATGGCATTGGACAGAAGGGCGAAAGCCCAGCTGTTGCTGGATCGATAACAACAACAACAACAACAACACCCTAGCAGTCGGTGGTAATTCCTTTTCGCTAAGTTCACCGAAACGATCCCATTCCTCTCTACGAAAGTCTGGTCTGTTGGAATGCTGCATGCGCCACTTCAGTAGTCGGTTAGTGTAGCAAGTCATCAGCAAGAGGCCCAGCCAGAACTAAAATGAAAAAAAGAACCCACCCTAATTTTAAGTTCCAAAGAAATATCTAATGTCATGTTTCGCAACAAACACCTCAAAATTAGCAAATTGCCTTCGTAAACCACCGGTTACTCAATGCACAATAACAATACTCTTGCTAATCGTTAAAAAAAAATAAATTATTCAATCGTTCATGTGCTGTTCTTCTTGTTCTAGCCTTGCGTTCCTCAACCTTCGACCTGATCACGAATGCCGGAAACAAACTGATGATAGAATTTTGCCTCCTCCCGACAAAACTCAGGTCTTATCTTTTTAGTAGACACGCGGGTCTGCTCTTTCCTAGCATTAAATTCTAAATGATGACCGTTATTTTGGCCATGTGCGCTTCTCCTCTTTGCTCCGCCAAAACTCCCAAACAAACGATTCCGATATTCTTGGCTTTGCCTCGACATTTGCCTCGACGTCACAGACTGTTACTATTATTATGATTATGTGCACAGATGTGTGTGGAGGAGAGGATGTGCGATAGGGTGTGTATATAGGTGTGCTCATGCGCTTGCGTATGCGTGTGTGTATGTATGTATGTATGTATGTATGTATGTATGTATGTATGTATGTATGTATGTGTGGTGAACCAATGAGCCAGGATCTGGACAATAAAGATGTGTGTCTTATCTCATCTTATCTTTCGAATCCGCATGGTAACCTCAGTCAACATGCACCCTGTAGAGAAGGATTTTGCTGCCAGACTCGGGCCCCAATTTATCTCACAATGCTTGCGTCTGGTCATGACCCCGAGACGTTTCCGCTGAATCTCATTTGATCGCTGTAATATGTACATTGCCCAATGGATACAATTGATTTTATTTCATACAGTTGGGACCAGCCAGAATTTTCATTTTATTGACGGGCAGTGGCTACCATTTCAGCACCAACATGACGGAATCGACTCGCGACCTACACAAATTAACAAATTTGATTTTGAAGGCCGTAATCGAACTTAGTTAAATTTGTTGCATCGTGCCAAAATTGTATCTTTTGTCCCCGCATAAAGGAAAATACTGGCTGGTCGCAACTGAAACAAAATGATTCATACTTGAAGTGTGCCTTGGGAGGTATACACAGAGAGTGTGGTTGGTTGGCGGATGCTCTGATGTGGTTTGCTTCTTCTTTCCTATCAAACATCTATAGTCATTATCTCCCCTTCTTCTTTTTTAAAATGTTTGTTACTCTCTTGTAACACCTCTAATCTTCTCGCGCTCATATGACCTTATGCCTTTCCGAGCGCCGTAAAACCTACTCTACTATAACATCAATACACAAAGAGTAGGCCGACATTGCCTATTTGATTAGGTGTGCGATGGCGAAACTCCTAACCACTACACCACATCACAGATGTCGTGTGTAAGACCATGTCTAACATTCAATACTCGAACTCTTACAGGGTAGGAGTTGCCATAACTGCAGCTCTTCCGAAATCCCCGAAGATGTTCAGTGGATGATCCGGTGCCCAGAGGAGAATCAGCAGCAGGGCTTTTCTGATTGTCAGGGCTCCTGCTCTACTTTCACGGGTCAGAATGGTGAGTGAAAAATCTGAAGAGAGCAACTGTACCAGGGACTATAAGTGACTGGAGGAATGATTACGACCTGACTGTTATTAAACGTCTCGTACAACAAAAAAAAGTAAAATGCATTATTATTATCTTATTGCTGTACCTTTTTGAAGCACATAACACACTCACGAACAGAAAAAAGGCTAAAACAGCACCAGGACATGGATGGCTGGTGCCTCTATAAATGAATCATTGATGGTCAAGGTCAACACACTCACGCACGTGCACACATATGCGTGCGCACACACACACACA